TGCCCCATAATGATGCACTAGTCATCGCCCCTCTCATCGATCATGTTCTGGTCCGGAGAGCGTTGATAGATGGGGGCGCATCCACCAACATTCTATCCCTTCCAACATATCTCGCTCTAGGATGGACCAGGGCACAATTGAAGAAAAGTCCCACACCCTTGGTTGGATTTTCTGGAGAATCAATCTCCCCAGAAGGGTGTATTGACTTACCGTTCACAATTGGGCAAGACAACACACAAGTCAGGCAGATGGCCGAGTTCGTTGTTATCGACGGCAGATCGGCCTACAATACCATTTTCGAGAGACCCATAATCCATTCATTCCGGGCTGTTCCCTCAACACTTCACCAAGTTCTGAAGTATTCAACTCCTCAAGGGGTGGGCACAGTCCGAGGAGAGCAGAAGACGTCAAGAGAGTGTTACGCCTCTGCATTAAAAGGGTCATCAATATATGCCTTCAAAAGACAAACCAAGTGGGACGAGCTGCAAGAATCCGAAACCGACCTGCCAAGATAAAGCAAAAGGGAGTTCTCTGCACCAACAGAGGAGCTCGAGCTTGTTCCTTTGCTTAGTCCTGAAAAACAAGCATAGGAACCAAGCTGGGGGCCGCTGATAGGGAAGAGTTGATCAACTTCCTCAGGTCCAACTCGGACGTTTTTACGTGGTCCGACGAGGACATGTCAGGCATAGACCCAAAGATCATGGTGCATCACCTCAACATAGACCCATCATTCCGACCTATAAAGTAGAAGAGAAGATTTGTAAATAAGGAGATGAGTGATGTAATTGTTGAGGAAGTTAACAAACTCTTAAAAGCTGAATATATAAGAGAAATTATGTATCCCGAGTGGCTCTCTAATGTTGTATTAGTTAAAAAATCCAACGGGAAGTGGAGAATGTGCGTAGACTTTACAAATTTAAATAAGGCATGCCCAACAGACTGCTTCCCACTGTTGAGGATCAATCAGCTCGTAGACGCAACAGTCGGGCGCTAGCTGCTCACCTTCATAGATGCCTACTCCAGATACAACCAAATCAAAATGCATGTCCAGATCAAGATCATACCGCATTCATAACAGACCAAGGTTTGTACTACTATAAGGTTATGCCCTTCGGCCTAAAGAATGTGGGGGCTGTTGGGTGTGTTGCCCTAAACTAGTAGTTTGTATTTTGTGTAAAAACAAATGTATATTCAATAAAGTTTTATTCAATAAATTTGTTGTTGAATTCATAGCATTGCATTGTCCAAAATTCAATAAACTAAACATCCGAGGTTATTTTTGTGTAATCGGGACAGTATATGTACTGGATATATATTTGATATACTAGGTATATATTTGATATATCCCTGATATACGAGGTATATATTTGATATACCTTGATATACAAGTGGATAATGTCCCGTGAATAACCTAAAGGGTCTATAGTATATGGATAAGGCTGGGTACCTTATCCTGGCAACACTATCGATACGACCCACTCTGTAAAGGTTACAGACGGCTCGATCCAGGTCGTTCGTGTGGAGACATGCGAGTGGGGGCATCCTATACAATGAGTTTGTATAAGACCGGACCACGAAATAGCCAATCTTTAGATGTAACACCATTAACTAATAGATTGCTGTTTCTTAGGATGACCAGGCAACTCATCTCAATCTTGAGTGAGTTATGGACTCCTGCCCGTGAGGACTCGTCCTTTGATATGTATGGGTGAGAGTGGCCCAAGTTGCCGACTCAACATTTCTACCATTTCGGGGACGAGACCGAGTGGGAAGTTGGGAACATAACTTCACAAGATGAAATTCACTCCTCTCCGACTTTAAGGGAGTAGGTGAGTGTTCCCTTAAATGCTGACTCTGGGACTTGAACAAGGGGCCCCACCCTCTCATTGGTCCGAGAGGGACCTCCGATTATTGGTCGGACCATAACGGGGTTGTTCATTAGAGGAGCAGTGGTATTTAAGGAGTAAGATGTAACTCAGGGGTAAAACGGTAATTTGACCCAACTTGAGTTACGAGCAATCTTGAAGGATTGACTCGTCATTAATGGTCGTATATCCATGGACACGAAAACATTCTGCAGTGAGAATAGTGCAACTGCGGGTCTTTAGTGGAATGACCCGTAGTTAACGAATCTTGATTAACTCGGTTAATGAGTTTGACCGATTAATCTTGCATCGTTGGAGCTTCTGATATGTAGGTCCATTAGGTCATCTTGCTAGCTCATAACGGGTAAAACGAGGATCAAGTTTTTGGAAGAATTTGAATTGTTCAAATTACTTGAGGGATTATATGTATATTGATATATTATAATATATAGTTAATTATAAATTAAAACTATATATTATGAGAGAAATTATTTGAATGAGATTCAAATAAAATTAATATGAATAAAATTCATATTAAAACTATAGGTTAAAAATAATGTGCATAAGATGTATATTAGAACTATAGGTTATACGAGAGAAATGTTTTAGAATATGATTCTATTCATGTGATAAATAATTAAGGGTWAATTATTTATTTGATATATATATATATATATACATATATATTATTAATTAGATTAATAATTAATTAACATTTATTAATTAATATGATTAATTAATTAATTAATGATTAATTATTAATTATTATATATATATATTATATTAATTATTAATATTAATATTAATATTTAACTCCCCTGCATTGCAGGGAGTGGGGGAGTTATGTGACTGGTTTTCTGTAAAAGCCTACAATTGTTACAAGAAAAGAAAGAACTCCCAATCTCTCTTTAAGTACTCTTTCAAACTCTCCCTCTCGTTCCAAAGAAACGCTCCCACAAGCATGATCTCGAAACTGAAGAGGATAGCAAGGAAGATCCAGTGGTGGTGTTCGAGGGGAATTCATTGAAGAAAAGTTCTTCAAAGGTATAATTTTCCCCTATTTTTCCTTCTTGCACATTTTGATTTTGTTTCCCAAATATCACGAACAACGGTCCGCTTCCACTTCGGGATTCACATCCCTTCAGGAGCGACCTACCAAAGAATGGTGAACAAGATGTTCGCCAAGCAGATCAGCCAGAATATGGAAGTGTATGTGGACGACATGCTTGTCAAGAACAAGCAGTCAAAGTCGCATCTTTCCGATATGACCGAAGCCTTTGAAGTTCTGAGGAAGTATCAAATGAAGCTCAATCCAGCCAAGTGTTCCTTTGGAGTCTCCTCGGGTAAATTCCTCGGTTTTATGGTAAACAACTGTGGGATCGAAGCCAACCCAGAGAAGATAAAGGCCGTGCTCGAGATGGAGGCACCAAAAACTCTAAAGCAGCTTCAATGCCTCAATGGCAGGATTGTAGCCCTAAATAGATTTGTCTCGAGATCAACCGATAAGTGCCTTCCTTTCTTCAAAGTTTTGAGAAAGAAGGGACCATTTGAGTGGACGACAGAGTGCGAGCAGGCTTTGGACCAGTTGAAGATCTATCTCTGCTCGGCACCACTGCTTGCCAAGCCTTTACCGGAAGACAAGCTCCACTTGTATCTGGCGGTATCCGATAGTGCCATCAGCTCGACCCTAATCAAAC